ACTCTACCAGCTCCTTTTAAAAACCGGAATCCTGAAATTACATGAAGCCAATGAATGCTTAGGACTAGCCTAGAATATAAGATCAATATTTCCTTAACCTTTGATGTCACTTTTATCTTTAGAGACAGCGATATAGGCAGCAGGGAAGATGGGTAGATCCTTCCTTTAGTATCTTTCTCTATAGGAGATCACTGTTAATCTCCAGCACTGATCCTCCAGAAAATTCAGCTGCAGTGATGCTTCTAAGGCAGATGGTCCTAGCAGAGAATCATACTCTATGATGTTATTAAGTTTATAAAGAAAGATCCCCCCTTGAAGGCTAAAACATCTACCCCCAACCCTTAACCTCCCCCCTGACAACACAACAACCCTGAAAGCTATTTATGGAAATCAGCAATACTGGCCCCCAGCTGACACTGATGTTAGCAGACAAATAAATCTCTCCCCTTTATATGTAAAGACTAGCTGGGGCTTTTAACATAAAAGCCCATGTACGTCGTGAATTAAATATATTCTCTTTTAACAAATCACTGGCGTACATTAGTAAAAATAACTAGAGCCACTGAGCTGCAAAAGGGTGATAAAGGCACATCAAGCAGAGGAAATGTTCAGGTTAATGCAAACTGACTCCCCGGAGGACAGTTTCACCCAAATGGTCATCGCTGTAACCCAAGTCACAGCGAGAATGATGAGGCCATAAGTGACAGTAGATCAGGTTCTAACGAAGTGTGCTGGTCTAACACGCCACCGTACAACACAATTAACTGCTTACACCAGGTGTTGCCTTGTTTCTGCCATGTTACACTTCTCACATTTCATGTAATGGTGTTTGCAAAGTGCTCCCAGTTTTCAATTAGTCAGACTTGCCCTCCCTCTTACATTCATCTGTGCAGTTACATCTGACTCAAGTGGGCTACCGGGGAGCTGATGGTTCACAAACATGACCTCTCCGAACACACGATTCAAACTAAGTGGTGGCAACGCTTTCCACCTCCCCCCCCTGAAACGAGTCATTAGATTTAATTTATTCCATATGCTTATGATGAATCGAATCAATGGTGTAACTTTCCTTTGTCCTAGCGCGTTAGGTATACAAGAGAGGGATGCTTAAAATAGGCTGCAGCCACTTCACCAGCAGCCTAACCTCTCTGTGTGTGAATCTGCCTATTGATTTGCCCACCTGCATCACAGAGTTTCTAAGTGTCTGAGAACCAGTGCTTCGGTTTCTGTGCCTCTTTGAAGCAGGCTGAAGCAGCATACAGGTGATGCTGCGTGCAGAATCAAAGGAGAAACAGCCTCCTTTCCCCTGCAATAAATAATACCATCTCTATTTTCTTTTTACATAATTATTCTTTTATACTTATGTGAAGTGCATGCCCTCTGGGGTGGGATTAATACCTAAAACCATTAGAGAGAGTGTGGTGGATGCCTGGTTTTCATTAGTTGCTAATTACTCATGGGTACCCCAAAGACTCCTAGTCATCACAAATAAAACACACTGTGCAATTTAAATATTGTATTACTCTGTGTTTATGGCCCAGGCAAATACAATGTCACTAGAGACAGGCTCAAGTCACACAACTTATATCCAGATTTCAAACACCCAAAGAGGTGGAAAGTTCAGATCTATGACCCTGCCCCAGATAAAACTAGACTATTTGAAGAACGTAAAGCCACAACCAGGTGTCTAAACCTTCAGAGGTGCTTAGATGCTGGGTCTTAAATTGGACTTGGCTCCATGGGTACATGCAGACGTTACATTTAGATCAAGCTAACTAGGGGGAGGCTGGTCTAAATGCCCACCTGTGCAGATGATCAGGGGGCTTAAATCAGGCCAAAAATGGCACAGCTGATCTAAGTTAGTTTACCTTAGTGAACTAACTTTTAGTGGGAACAGGTTAACCTGATGCGGTAATGGTCTGCACATATTTGGAGAGCAGCCCCAAGGCTGGGAAAACCCAAACACTTGCTCAATCCCATGGCTATGCTCTTCCTACCTCCCCAACCCTAAAAGAGGTATTTTTAGTGCCCCCCCAAGCTCCCCACCCCTGGATGGACAGCCTCCTGCATGAACCCACCAACCCCGTCCTCACTCCACCCACTCCTTCCCCACTCCAAATTACTTATATCAGGTTCCCTGTGCAGCTCCTGGCACCATCAAACATTTGTACCTGCAGCTCCTGGTCTATGATCATGTGGCTTAAAGTAAGCCATGTGATTGTAGACTAGGAGTGGCAAACGTTTATACGCACCCTAATTCTTACGGGTTTATTTTAAATTCAGTTTTAGACTTTTTCATGCTATACACATTAACAAGTTAGTTGCCTAGGGGTTAACTGAGTCTACCTTTAAACTTCAGAGACCAAGGAGAGGAGCTTGACCAGGAATTCTTGGGTCAGCTCACCGAGGTAGCGAAGGCTACGGATGTGGTAGTCGTGGGGGACCTGAACTTCCCAGACATCTGCTGGGAGGAGCAGTCAGCCAGGTCTGAGTGCTCCCGTAGGTTCTTAGACAGAGTCCAGGACCTTCATCTAACCCAGGAGGTACACAGCCCCACCAGGGGGGATGCCTTGTTGGACTTGGTGTTGGCCACGGGTGACGACCTGGTGAGGGAGCTGCAGGTGCTTGACCCCCTGGGTGACAGTGATCACTGCCTGCTGGAATTCACC